AGACAAGTGTTTGAGTTATGATCTTTTTTCTGGACTCAGGGCCATTCCGTTCACGACACCTAGTGACCACAGATGGGCCACAACGTATCATGGTGGGTTGAAAAGTACCGGAGTTTAGGATCCGGAGTTGAGGTTCATGGGTTCAAGGTTCAGGGAATTTGCCTTGCGACAACTTCAATTCGCTCTGCGAGGGTCAAGGTGCGTATCTCCCTAGAGATCCAAAGCAAACGCCCGAAGCCATGGCTTTTTGAAACCGGAAATCATCCAGCCGAAGTGGTGGTTGTTTTCACGTTAGTCGCATAATTCCCAAGCCTACGCACCTTTGCTTTGTGGTGTGGGACTAGCGCAACTAGACTGTGCCAGTATGGCACTTGGACGGGGCGACCTATCTGAAACGAGTCCAGTATAACCCGAACCCAGACCTTGGAAGTCCGGGCTCTGGGCGCTGGGTTGCAGGACACTGCCATGAAGGAGGTCACGAGCGCCACACCGAGCGACCGGCCATCCGGCAACTTGGCAACTTCCTGTGTGTGGACGACTCCGAAGCCCGACAGCTCGAAACCTGCACGATCCTCGAGCGGAAGACTTTCAAACACCTCTAAAGAAACACCGACAACGAACCAAAGCCCGAAATGCAACCACCTCGAAACCGAATGGCAAGACCATCATGAATCCCAAAGTCTAAACTCGCCTGCAAACCGAGTCTCCCGAAATACGCAGCAGCTGGGCACCGTGAGCCTGCGGCCGCAGTCCACGCCGCAAGGCACACTCAAGCGTGGGGATTCGCTCGAAGCTCATCGTTAAAAGTGCTAGCTTAGACGTCCTCTGGATGATCCCCATCACCATCATCATGATGATGTAGATGCGGAGGTGTCCGGTGTGGTGTTTGGGTTGAGGATTCGCTTGGCTTTTATCGGAAGACTGGCAACAAATAGTGTAGGTTGTGGTGGTGCTGACACGAAACGGCCGGGAGGACTTCTCGTCGCAATTGTTCTCGTAAGCAATAAGTAGCAAGTACCAGTGGCAGCAGTAGCAGCACGCTGCTGCTTCTGCTGAATCTTAACATGCTGCTGCTGCTGCTGCTGCTGCTGCTGCTGCTGCTGCTGCTGCTACTGCTATGACTAAGTACTCCTTTCCAGAATGTCGGCCTTCTTATTTTCCAGATTTTTAAAGTTTGGGGCTGGGGTTTGCAATTTTCGGGTTTCGTGTTTAGGGAGCATGACCCCCCCCAATCTTGCACGACTTGGATCTGGCCGTAATGCTTATGCGGTTCGTGACGAATATCGAAGATCTTCATGCCGTAATGCCGTATTGCGCGGCGGAACACCAAATCTCGGCGAAATCCTGCCTTCCTGCGGTCGAAGCAGATTTTGTTTAAAGAAAACCACAGTGTCACAAGGCCACAATGCTTGCGGTCATGCTTAGAAGGTATTTCGGGAAGTGTCAAAGGCGAGGCGAGTCGAAAGTATCCAGCGCTTACCATGCTGTGCACCTGGCACACTCCAGGGAAGCTCGCAGAATTCTACCAGGGCGTGACCATCTGAGCCCCTAATTAATGACTTTCAAGGCCAGAAGACGCTTCCAATGAGCTGGCTTTCTGTTCAGACATTTGCAGGCAAAACACAAGCTAAACGAAGCTAGATTGTCTCCCCCCCCCTTCCAGATGCAGATCCTAGGGTCCTAGACTTCAAGCCCAAGACGTTTCAAAGCTCCAAGACCCCAAATTGCCCGTGGACAGGTTCCAGGCGGCTTCAGACACGGCGGAAGTCGCGAGGCACGAAGCCTCGGGATTGCGGGGTGGTTTAGGGTATGGGCTGTGGGATGTTTGTCTTTTGTGTTAGGTTGGACTCAGGCGACATTGTTGACTTTTTTTGTTTGTTCATCTATGCCGATATTGTTTTCAGGTTCTGCGTTTTGTCACTGGGTTCGCTAGTTTTAGTGCCCGAGGGCTTGTGAGAGTTTGTTCGAAGCTTCGGTCTCATCAAGCTTCACTCATCTGTTTTGCTGAATGTCCAGCGCAGCTTAGCAGACGCAACTCCAACTCCAACTCTTAAATCCCACAGCTCAGCTCCTTGAAGAAAGTCCAGTAACCGCTGAATTCCACGACCCTCGAATGGAACGTAGCTCCAAACACCGAACCATGATAAACACCGCATAGCACCCCATACGGCACTCGAAAGAAACCATGCAGACTCGTCTACGATCCCCCGAAAGCCCTTGCAAACCACCCCTCCCGCACTCGAATGATAATACCAGGCGCGAAGAGCACGGAGGTCAGCGAGTTCCTCCGAGAATCCCTGCCTCCAGGATGAAGAGCGGTATTTTTAGGGAATAGGATAAAGGTTAGGTAGGATAAGGTAGGATTACAAGGGATACGATGAGGGTTTAGGGGTCAGGGTTTGGGCAGTTAAGGTTCAATTTTTCACATGGGGGGAAGAGGTCGGGTTTCCCTCTGAGGGCTCCGACACCGCAGATTCAGGGTGACGAGAGGCCACTTAAGGGAATACTACAATGCAGAACAGTCTATTCAGTTACTATACTATACCATGTCTTGTCAGGTTTGGGTGAGCATAGGTTATGGAGAGGGCGGAGAGTCGAAACGGCAGAAAGAAGCCCTAAGCCCCCCCAAGCCCTCCGGGTTTTCTGCCTTTCGTGTTACAGGGTATCGTGCAGTCTGTAAATCTGCAAATGAGATGGCAAGATATCTTGAATCGGGTATAGCCTTCGAGGTTCTCCCATGAGTACTGAACTCTCTGGTATGTTCTCCGAGACCCGGGCAGCTGAACGTATTTTGTCTTTACATCTTGAGTGTGAAAATTGGTCTACTCGTAGGTCTGGTGGTTTCGGGGTTGGATGGAGCTCAGCCAGTTGTAGGTCAGGGTTCTCTGATTCTGCGTGCAGATCTGAGGCGCCGAGACCCGGCCTCCGTGCAGGCCGCGCCCCTGTTGTAGGAGATTCGTTTTCCAGTCCTCTTATAGCTTGAATTAGACTGCACCTGCAATGCCAGCGTGCAGCTTTCGTCGTGTTTGCTGTGTGTTCTGCAGATGTTGATGTCCATACAGCTAGAGATGCTGATGATTATGATCCCAACTGTCATGGCAATCACGATGACCCTAATAGTGGTGACTATCTCAGAATGATGTTAAAGTTATCATGGTGCCAGCGACGAAAACTGACGGTTGTGAAGCACAAAGACAGCAGTTGTTGGTCAAGCTCTGTTGGATCCGCAGCCAGTCTGTTGGTAAACTAAGCATACAACTGGCATCACTACTTTCAGTTCAAATCAGAGGCATTCTACGCCTGTCAGACTGCTATTTCAGTAACTAGTCGTGGTGATGTTGGGGGATGGGCATTCCATGATCATGTAGGTGCTCGTGATCATGCCAGTGCTGAGTATGTGTTCGACGGTAGTAGCGAGGTTGTTGGTGGTGAAGGCGATGCTGTTGATGGCCCATGACGCTCTTGTTGAGACGACGATGATGGTGTTGGTGCTGGTGCTGGTGTTGGTGCTGGTGCTGATGATGATGGTGGTGATGATGATGATGATTGTTTCGATGCCGGTGGCACGGCAGTAGCAGCAGTGGCGGCGGCGGCGGTGGTGGTGGTGGTGGTGGTTGGTGTCGATGACTATGGGGTTGAGGCGATGTTCGTGCTGCCTCCCTGCTCAATGCTTTGATACTGCTGGTGATTGGACGACGATGGTGATGCTGAGGTCGATGATGGTGATTGTGGCGGTGATGGCTCTTCGTCCATGGTTTCTCCCGCCCCTTCGGTTTGTGGTTCTGTCGCTCTGGCAAGACCTTGTCGAGGCTCAGCTTACTGAAGCGGATCTATCAGAGCCGCATGGCGACAGGAAGAGTGGCAGTTGCAGCAGGATACCTTGCAAGGCGTCTCAGGGTGCGGAACCGGGGTTCCAAAGGTCAACTCATGCGTGGAGAGATGTCATGCGTGGAGAGAAGTAGCGAACGTTGAGATTGCGAGTTGGAAATGCTTGGATGGATGAGGGCGGTGGCCAATCTGGCGCAGGGCTTCTGAGTCACGAAACTCCGTGTTCCAGCATTCAGAACTTCGAGCTTCTGTTTCAAAAACCTTGCCAGCCCCTGTGAACGTCAGAAGTCATGTCCAAGGCTGCGGGCCTCGTGTAGGACGGGGTGTCGCTTGTTTCCGTAACAACGAATTCCTAGGACTTTCTAGTGTTTCGTGAATGGAAAGTCCCCCGGCGCCTTCCGAGGATTGTCTCCCTGATGGAGTACTACGAATTTGCCACTCGCCGCGGGTGATGGATCCGGATAGTGCTTTGTGGTTAGTTTTTGGAAGCTAAGTATGCCACTGAAGACCTCAGCCTGTCTTGACTCGCTGAGCATGACACCAGCTCAATCGTGGATCGCGAAACAAACCATGAGCCCATCCTAGAACACACCAGCTATACAGCAACATGCTGCTTGCAGTAAACTTGACCCAGGTTGTATTTAGTTCAGCAACTAGCCGAAAGTGTATGTTACCGTTTGTTTACATACCATGCGTGCATCCATGCCTACATGAGTGTGTACATGACATATATATATATACACCTACATGCATACATACATAGAAAATAGCACACTGCGGGCCCCAGTTCTCCATGCCTGTCGCGAGCCTACCTTCCTACCTACCTGCTTACCTCCTGGCTTCCTGCCCTGGTGGGGTGGGCGGACGGTCGGACGCGCACGTACAGGCAACCACATTACAATCATGTGTACACGTTTGCATGTATACACATGCACCTACGCCTGGCCGGTGTTATCAAACACAGCGGAATGCGGAGTGAAAAACCTTCGACAGCCATGCCCAACCCCGGCGATGTCAACGTCCAGCCAAGCCCAGCGAAGATCTTTGGCTCAGGATCCCGATGGATCCGACGACGAGGGTCTGCCGGCCGAATTCATGGGTAGTGTTCAACCTTATCGTGGGGCTGTCCTTTGTAGTGCATGTTGAATGTGCCAGTGCCATCAACTCCTGCCATGGTCTCCTTCGTGGCGCAATGCTTGTGCACATTGTTCGGATCTCTTGAGACTTTTGTATTGCTACCATGGTTCGCACATCTCGTGCTAGTAGTAAGTAGTACTCATTTTCTGAAAGTCGCTGCAAACCTTTTTCTAGGTTTCCTTCCACGCAGCCTTTGCCCAGATGGCGTGGGCAGCGCCAGCGGCTACATTTTTGTGGTGGACAACGGAGGCTTCGAGGTGCCTGGGGCGTCTGCAGGGCGGTGTCAGAAAGCTGTTCAGAGTCTGATTTCGAGGTACCTTATTTAGGGGCTCTATTGTTTGAGGGTTTAGCATATAACTAAGGGTCTGTATTGAGCTGGTTTGGAGATCTCGGCTTGTATCTTTCCATCGAAGCCCCGAGTGAGCCCCAAATTCCGAACTCTATACTTAGAGCCCGAAAGAAGGTCGTAAACGCCCACCAGCTCGGTTTTTTTGACCAAGGTTCGCCTCGATGGAACCCCGGTGGCCACGCTTGCAACCCGGCGGAGTTCGGCGGGTGCGAAATTTGGCGCCCCAAACCCGAGATTTAAGGGATGGGAGCCTCCGTGACTGGAGTTAGCCAAGTAAGTGCGGGTAAGTAAGCAAGCAAGTAAGTGAGGTAGCACGGTCAGTATAATACTCACTCACGAACCTTCATCTGGGTATTGAGTTCTTTACTGTTTAGCTTCCGCACCTTTCTTAAGCATGGCCTGGGCTTTCGGGCGCAAAGTGCTTCTTGAAATTCGGGCTCTTTCTTGCGTTCACGAGCGAGTATTTTGGTGTTGAACGGTGCGAGTATTTCTCGATTTGTATGACTAAGCTCAGGACAAGTATTGCTGCCATGATCTTCAACATGAGAATGCTGTTTCTACCTCCTGAACTCAACTGGCAATGGCGAATGTGGGGATTCCTAAGTAACAGTCGCAGCAACGGCAACAAGTAGCAGTCGTCGTCGCTGTCGAGAAGAGACAAGTGAGTCACAAGCCAGCTCAACCCAGGGACGAGGCTGCACCTTCGGCTGGAACTTCTTGATGAAGCAGCCGCAGTGGCGGGATCCGCACTGGGACTGCCAAGTTTCTGGTACTTCTGCCCCCCGCTCAAGACTCTAAGCCGTGCCCGCAGGCGAGAGCCCTCGCCAGGCCTGGGAATACCTGCCAACCTCCAAAGCCGGAGCGACCATCGCTTTCGAAAGCCCTACTTGCACCAATCGCGCGAAGCCATGAGAACCCATGCTGATGAATACAACGAAACCCAATCAGTGCCTGCGAAATGCTTGGTGCATGCACGCTCGTTTACACAGCTCTGTTGAGTTTTTCCCTTTAACGGTCAGAGAGAAGTCTGGATTCGCAACTTCTTGCTATCACCGTAAAGCCGACCCCGCTCTGTCTTACTAAGAGGCGCCCGGAAACTTCCTCTGTTGGCTTTAAAGTTTCTGGTTTTGAAGTTTCAGTATCGTGGGTTGACGGATGTTGGGTTTAGATTGTCATGATCTGTGCACGGGCCGGCTACTTCAATAAAGCATCCCCCTTGCCAGATCTGCAGTAAGACCTTTGAAGCCCCGAGCCCGAGAGGCCCCAAGCCCTAGGTCCTCTTCGGTGTACCCGGTGGTGAAGTCCGGGCTTTGGGGTGCCGATGGCCAGAAGATCCAGCAGATGCTCACCGAGCGGATCAGGGACCAGAGCCCCAGATTTTCTTTGTTTGGGTTTCAGTGGGAAAGGCTGAGATTCCTCCAAGCACTCGTCTGACAGTGCACACGTAGGCCCTCGAAGTGCTTCGCCCCACATGGCCTCCGTTGCTTCACGCAGCGGCCTTGCCCGCAGGAGAGAATACGCGAGAATCGCAAGCTCCTGGAGTCTCTTCTGCAATAAAGCCAGAGCCCCTACTCAGCATCACCGCACGGCAACCCCCTGTCTTGACGGCTCGAAACCTCGTACATCACTGCAACAAGGTTGCTACAGGCAGACGTTTTCAAAGCAACGGCAACTTGCTTCTCCACATAGGCCCGTAATCCCCGCATAATAAAGCTCCCCAAGAGCGAGCTCCTCCGTCGGAACTCTGGCATCCCTTGGCCTTGGCTTCAGGATTGCGTCTCCTTCTTCAAGGGCCTCCCTCCCCGGCAAATCGAACTGCTGAGCTCCGCCATTGTGGAGGAGTCGGCGCCCGGCCAGCAAAGTAAGAGACCCTGATCCCAACATCTCCGGCGCCCTGAGCTCCAAAACCCCTCCGTGCATCACTTCGATAGGCCATCTGATCCGCAAGTTGATTTCTTCAAACTACAGTGGTGATGCTGGTGTGCCTGGTGGTGATGATGATGACCGGGTTCATGTCGATGATTCATGATGATGATGAGGATGATGATGTGAGGATGCTGATGAAGGAAAAGAAGAAGATTATGGTGGTGGTGGTAGTGGTCAGCAAACTGCCGTCTGAGATGAATGCAAGCCACAGATGCCATCAATCGTCTCCGCAGGGTTTTTCGTCACTTGTCCACTCTTGTTGCTCAAGGCTGATGATTCCGTTCAACATGTTTCACAGATCAGTTTTTTGGTCGAGGGGAGCAGAGGTCGTTGAACGGAGTGGCTGGGGTTCATCCATGGGGGCCTAACATACAACCGCAACTTACAAGACTTCTGTGATCTGACGACATCGCTTCGGAATTATCCCCCGCTGCCTCTTCCTTCCTCCTTCCTCCTCTGCCGGCTTCTCAACCCTCTTCCACAGCAACATGGCATGCACTGTAGAAGCCCAGCAACCGTCGGACGGACCTGGCACGTTTCTCTGCTTTCAGGTGCGCGCGGGTACGAAGGCGCCAGGGTGGCTGGGTACTTCGGAGTTAAGCGGGGGGATTTCAGGGCTTGGGGTGAGGGAATGTTTTTTCTCCTCGATTTAGATTCTCTGTGTTGTCGTGAGAGGTTTCCACTGCTGCCAGCGATGCCGCTGCTGCCAGCGATGCTGCTGCTGCTGCTGCTGCTGCAGCGAATGCTTCCGTCTCGACTATGACTCAATGACGACGACAACAACCGCTGTCGCTAGTGCTCCTGCTCCCTTCCACCACCACTGCTACTGCTCGACCACCACTACCACCACTATCGCCACCACTCCCCTGTCGCCACTACCACCACCGACACCACTTTTACCGGTATCTACGCCATCGCCGACGCTACCACAACTGCCACAACTGCCACTCCTACTCCCACTCCGACGCCGACTGCGACTACGACGACGACTACGACGCATGCTGCTGCGACGGCTACGCGGTGTTTCTGTCGCCGCTGCGGTCTGTGTGGCTGCTCGACTACTTGCGGGCTCATCCGATACTTTAGATGCAGGCCGAGCCGAGGGTTTCGGCTGGCCCTAATCCTACAAAGTTCCTAATGCCTCTACCCTGCAACTCGTGAGCCCGTCAGGTGGTGGCCAAGGGCGAGTTTTCCACAGCCCTGTACTTCATTCGAAAAGGCATCGGGGACTTGAGTCCAGGCAATTTCAGCATGGGCACAGGGAAAGGGCATGCTTCGTGATTCATGCTCGGATGACTCTCCATCTTTCTGAAACCCTGTTGTCATAGAACCAGACATATTGCAGGGAACGATATCTTCATTCGAATGAAAGCCGAAACCGTAAAATCTGAAGTTGAGGGTCCGATGCTTGTGGTTTTAAGGCTGCCGGGAAGAAGGTTTTGCAAGCTGAGGTAGGAGCCAAGTCGTGGCCCCGAACCCACCTCGTCTTATATCCTACAAGTAGTACCCTAACCCTTCAAGTAAGCGCTTCGGCAGAGACCTTCAGTTCAGATCCGTCACGATGATGCTCGTTCTGGTTAAAACATTCCAGGTCCTCGTTTCGCAGAGCCAACAAGGGTCCGAGCTGCTAGGCCCTAGATCTCAAGCCCACAGGAACTGAACGCTTAACCCTGAGTCCAACACCCTGATCCCAAAACCCTAAATCCTGAACCCTGGACTAAACTCCGAACCTTGAATCCCGATGCTCCAATTTTGGCTCCGACTCGTGGGTTCAGCGGTATTCAGCCGCCCTTCTAAACCCAAGCCCCAAATCCCAAACCCGAAAACCCAGCCCCTGAATCTGCCCTTTCAGGGCAGCTGCGGGTGGAGGAGAATCAGAAGGAACTGGGACCAGGTCTACGTTGGGCTGTGTGTGGGTTTAGGGGTTCATGGCACGTTGGAGATGTGTGACTTGGTTGATTTGATCATGCGAGATGCTACTGTAGCGCAGCGAGCACGTTACAAGTGATGCCTTTTTCGTCGTTCGAGTGATAGGTCGTATGTTGCATTGGAATGGTCACCTTGTGTGGCATGATAAGGCCACGGAAAGCGTTTGCTTCTCACAATAGTCGGTGGGCAGATTGCACGAGATGCTATGCACATGCACGTCTCCACTTGTTCTCCATCGATCGATCTATCTATCCAGCCTTGCATTCATGTATGTTTGTCGGCCAACCAAGCCAGCTAATTTTAAATGTACGAATGCAGGCAGATGTTTGTATTCGGCCGAACCTTCGAAACCCAGACTCGTGCAAACTGGGCTTAGGCTTCGGGTTTGGGGTTTGGGGCCCCCCTCCGCACCGCAAGTCTGCTCGCAGGTGACTACTTCGGAGAGCGGGCGCTGCTGCACCGGGCCCCCCGATCGGCCACCGTGGTGGCCGAGACAGAGGCCTTTGGGGCTTGGATCTTGGGACGACCTGAACCCGTCCTCCAGCAGTAGATAGATCGAGTATACCCTTTATCTTAAATCCATGTCAGTCATGCTCCTGAACATTCTCTTAACAACAATAGCCATAATGATATTAGTCAATACTAGTATTCTTATTTTTAATATTACTGTTATTTCAAGTGCACTAGCTCAGAAACTTGGGCCCGTTCCTCGATCCCGCCTGCTGCAGGCAGAGCTTCTGCGGCTTGAGGCGGAGAATTTGTGCCCTGTCTCCCAGGTTCATAAAGATATACCTATATATCTATCTATCTATATATATATATATATGTATATATAACATAATGTAATATGGTATATGTATATATATATATATATATATATATATATATTTATTTATATATATATATAGAAGATCTACCGTATGAATGTGGTGAGCGTGTAGGACGTGTTGCAGCTCAGGGTTTAGGGGCGAGGTAGAATTCGGGCTTGTTTGGCAGCTGATGGTACCCGGAAGGAGGATACTTGTGCGTCTCTGTGAGGAGGAACCCAGAGATGCCTCCAAAGGTCTGTCAGCCTCGGTGTAGCTGTGTTGAAAAAGCGCCAACAAGAGGGATGCTGGGACTTGCCGTCCATGCAGGTTTCTTCATCTCGAGTTTGAGGGCCCAGAGTCTCGGATAGGGGGTGGTGCAGGGGGTGCAGTACATCCGGGCCCCAACTCAAGCAGCTGAGGAAATCCGTTGTCGGCCCGGACCTGCTCGTCTACCTTTCCAGGCGGGATGCTTTTTCCGTACGTCGCTTTCTAGAGCAGCAAAGCAGGCGCAGTAGCAATCATCACACAAGCGCTGCCGCAAAGCCCCGAAGCTCCGGAAAGTGGACTCCCTAGACCTTCAGACGACCTCAACAGCCTGTTCAGCCTTCCACCTCAATTTATACGAAGCCCCTCAACAATGAACATGAGCCGAGAGGATAAAAGCCCAGCCCTAAACGCTGACTCCAGAGCCTCAAGATGCGGAGGCCTGAACCCTAAACCCTGAACATTCCACCCTGCCCGAAGCCTTGGCCCAAAACTTGAATTCCAAGGTCCTAGAACCCTGAAGACCCAGAACCCCAAAACCGAAGACCCTAAAGTCCAAATTCCCTAAACCCAGAGCCCGAGACTCGACGTTCTCCTAAAGCCCCTACAGTTCATACAGACTCCTACAACTCCTAGACCCCCTACAACTCATAAAACTCTTAAATTCCCAAACACCACTCCAAAAGCAAACCCCCACCATTTAAAAATCCAACAGCCCCCGAACACGCGAACTGTGCGCGAGGTCTCTCGTCCTCGAAGCGCTTCGGAGCTCCCAGGCCTGCGGCCAGCATCCCGGCCTTCATAACTAGAATAGGGTTGCTTTAGGGGTTCCTTTAATGTAAAGGGATCTATCATTAGGGTTCATATATAACTAGAATAGGGTTGCTTTAAGGGTTCCCTTAATTTAAAGGGATCTATCATCAGGGTTCATATATAACTAGAGTAGGGTTGCTGTAGGGGTTCCTTTAAAGGGATCTATCATTAGGGTTCCTATAAGGGCTTGCAGCATCCCGGCCTCGCCAGAGAGCTTCTTCCCTTCGGGTGCGCGTATAATGTGCTAAGCATCGATCTGGCCTGACTTTTTAAAGTCCCCTTATTTAAGTCAGGTTTAGAGCCCCAATTATGACCAATACTGGCACCCAGCATAGGGTCGGAATATAGTTACTAGTGTCCAACGGACGTCTCTGGGTGTGGTTGCAGGTGTGTTGTCTTGGCAGTGGGCTTTGCTGGAGCGTTTGGGTGTTGGGGCTTCAAGTCTTGAAGCCTTCATCTTGAAACTCTGACGTCGGGTGCATTTGCTTTGGTTTTGCATTTGCGTCACAGGTCGTTGTCAGTGTTTGGCACGGACTTGACGGGTCTGTGGGCATACTCTTTGTCTCTGCTATTCCACAATCGTGATCATAGCGGTTTTCACGATCATCAGCATTGCTTGCGCCTTTGCTTCCATTTCCTGTATCACCTACTGCTAACAAGCGCAGATCACAAGCGCAAAACATCTCTTGCCGGCGGAACGGACGATCCCTCACCGGTCGTCCTCGAATCATGCCCCCCCCATCGTTCCTGCACATGTTGCAGCCGAGGTTCAACCTGTCACAGCAGTCGGCCATCATGAAGAACATGAAGATGATGGAGGCCCGGGGCTTCGCTTCGCCCAGCCCATATCCGCTTGAACGCACCAATCTGCGTCGTGAACCCTGACGGAACAGGTGACCGCCGGAAGCTGCATTGACGGCGCACGGCACAGCGACTTCCTCTTGCTGGCGGGCTGGCAGCACCCACAGGTTGATGTGGCGCCGGGCTTTCACGGTACAGGGCGCGCAGGGTTTGGTGTGTTGTTGGGGTAATTAAGGGGAGTTGAGGGAAGGCAGGTGCCAGGCGCAGGGATTAACAGCTGAGGCTGTTCGAGCAAAACTTTGTAAGTTGTGGGTGGTAGTCTGCGAGCAACCCAGTTATCAGGTAATCGGTGAACCGTGAACCGATGCTCAACACACCAGACGGGTAGCCGTAAGTTTGCAGCATCATGCAGCTGCGATTGACATGCTTGTACCTCCAGCACAATTGCGGCTCTGCCTGGGCCCCCGTGTGCTTTGTCGGGCTCAGGCTTCAGTTTCTGTAGGTCATGGCCCTGGCTCCTGGAAGCCTCAGGTTTGAGGACCCAAATGAATCTCAGTTACGAGCTTCCGCTGATGACTGTTACACTTATGTTTCGACCTGAGGCGGTGATCCAGGGCAGCGTCTCCGATCCGACCTCAGCTGGATCGCTCAAAGCTTGTCCGGCCTGCCAGAAACCCCAAAGTCTTGTAAAGAGCGACGGTAGGAGCCCTGAACGCCAACCTTGGGGTCGTTAAGTCTCTTGTGCTGGAGGCTCGTTTGAGGGGGGACTGAATACCGGGAAAGGTGCCAGCTGCTTGTCCTCCATACACCCTCGCGTGTCGTCGAATGCAGTCCGGTTCCCCCGTGCGAACGCAGTGATCTCAGCCTCCAACAAGTTTTAGGCAAGGTCAAAGAACCTCAAGCCTCAACTAGACCTGCCGTTCTCGCCCCCTCCCAAAAGTTCAGGGCAACACAACCCTAAGACTTTCAGCTTTGCGTTGGTGCTTGTGTTCCTTGCGTTCCGAACTCAGCAATGCATCCTCAGAAATCCCGAACTCCCGAAAGCCTAAACCCACACCCCAACCACCGGAATCTCTACATCCTTCACGTGTCAGCAGCCTGTTAGCCGCACGACCCAGCACCACCCAGTCCGCAACCCCAAGAATCGACAACTGCTTGCGCAGGGCCAACCTTCCTGCCTTACCTCCATTGGACGAGACAAGCCATAAATCCTGAACCCCTGAGCCACCAGCTGTTTAATGCATCCAGCCTTTAGCCCTAAGAACTCTGAGCTAAACCCGAAACTCAAAACCCGAAGCCCTGAACACTAATCCTAAAACCCCAAACCGGAACCCCAAAATCCTAAACCTGAAATCCCAACCCCGAAACCTCAAAATCCCAAACCTGACGCCTGCAACCCGCAGATCCCCAAGATCCCAACCCCCAGACACTGAAACTCCCAAACCCCGAAGATCCCGAAAATCCCACAAAAATCCCAAACCTCAATCCCGGAAACCCCCAACCTAAAGATCCCAAAGATCCCAAATCCCCAAAATCCTATCCCCAAACCCTAAACCCTTAATCCCTTCAAAGCCGAGGACCAGGCCAACCCGGAGCAGCCAAACGTGTTGCCGGGCCAGGCCTTCGAGGCTCCGCCCTTTTTTGGACTGAGGGGTTCCTTAAATTTAAGGGCTCCCGTCAGGGCTCCTTTTAAGGGGCTCCTTTAAGGGCTCCTTTAAGGGCCCCCCCGTCAGGGCTCCGTTAGGGGGTCCTTTTCCGGCTTTCTAGGGCTCCTTCAAGGATTCCTTGAAGGGCTCCCGTCACGGCTCCTTTAGGGGGTCCTTTAAGGGATCCTTTAAGGGAAGGGCGCCTTTAAGGGTTCTCTTAAAGCTCCTTTAAGGGGTCCTTTAAGCGGAGGGATCCTTTAACGGGGGGGGGGGGTTTTGGGGACATCAGGGACCGACGACTATGATGAATACGAGCTATATACATAGTAATAATTCCAGTAAGAATTACTATAATAGTATTTTAGCGGGCTAAGAATAATTGAAGTAGCAGTAGTAGTCGTGGTAGTAACAATATTTTTAGTGGTGGTGATAATGTTACTGAAATCCTAGTTATCGTTAGGGTCACAATCACACATGTAAGCATGGTCATACTGACAATGGGCATGATACTGCAAATGAACATGGTACTGACCATAAGAATGGTACTGGTGGCATTAATGGTACTGGCAAAGCGATTGTAATGACGCTGGCTGCAACAGGAATAAGGATGAGGTTAAGGGTAAGGGCGAGAATGAGTACAGTGTTAGTGATGTTGATGGTGATGACAATGACGATAATGATGCTCATGCAGGAAGCTATTGGCAATGCTCCTAGCAATCATGGTCGTTCCAATACCAGCAACAATATCAGACGGTAGTAAGAATCATCATAGTACTATTCCATGGTCCTAAACCTACATCCGCGACCTCAAACCAGTAGGCCGTGATCCTGGCTCTTGAGTGCTTAGCTCTCTTAGCCGGTACGCAGCACTTTGTTCTCTTTTCGCCGGTCTGGGCTTTGGGCCCTTCTCCCTAAACCCTAAACCCTAAACCCTAAACCAGCTCGACAGTTGAAAAATCGCGGCGGAGTCAAAGCCCTAGGCAGCTTTCACTCGAAAGTTCGGCAACAAGCAGAAGACAAGGTTTCTGCCACTCTAAACCCCAAAGCCCGAAAATCTTACACGTCTCATGCCGAAATGCCAGCCGTAGCCCTTAGCCCCAAAACCGAAAGCCTCAAAGCCAAGCTCGAAGGCTTGCCCTAAAGGCTAGCCCCTAAATCCAAACCCCCAAAGCTTTGGAACCTGAAGCCTGAATTCCCTCGCGCACCACCAACCCCTCCTTGAAAAGAAGAGCTGGCCAGCGCTTCTAAAGCGGAAGTCTTTCAACTCCGAGCTCGAAGGTCAGCCACCACCAGCGGCACAATTCCCTGCCGGCTGACACCCTCAGCGGGCCACTGCCCATGCACCTTGGCTTCATTACAGAGCCCCACCATACGGTGTACAATCCCATGCCACTCCCGCGGACAGCATGTACATCCCAAGAGAAGAGAAGCTCACTGCAGCCATGCGCAACCCCTTGCTCGGCGTACCAACAGAACAAGGAGCAACGAGGACCAAAACCCCGGGCCCCAACTCCTAAATGGCCGGAAGCCAAAATCCCCTCAGATCGTAAACATCACCCCTAAGCCAGCCACAAAGACCAAGGACTAGAGCGAATTCTGATGTCGCAAGGCTCCATGGGGTCCAGTGCAGGAGTTAGGGGATTCGGATTTGCGGATTGGTTTTGGATCTAGACTTGGGTGTTAGGGGATTACCGAATTTCCAGGCTGTCATAATTTTGTTCGATGATTCAGGATTTGCCCAGGCTTGTTACATGTAACAGGTTCCTGCGATTTTTTCTTCTTGATGCGAACATGGATCATCAACCCAAAACCGCAAAACCATGAAGCTTATAAAAGGACCAGGTTCCCGCAGCGCCCCGGCTGACAAAGAAATCCCCCACTCAACCCTGAACCGTCATGTAACTGTTGACTAGTCGTCACGGGAGCAGGAGCCGTATCTGCAGTCGTCGAAACGTGCCACTTGAACCCTAAACCTCGCACCTCAAACCCCTAGCTCCTGATACCCTAAACCCGGAAGGCAAAATGCCCCAAGCTCCTCAAACCCCAAACCCCAAATCCCAAAATCTTGAAGAAATGCCCCCACCCCCATCTCCTAAGCCCAGAGCCGGAAACATCAGTGCACGGCAGGGAGCGACTGGACCTTGCGGCTGGCGCAGAGGGTGCCAAGGCACTTGGGTGCAACAAAGATCTGGGGAGGTTTGGAAGTCTTGGTCTATCCAGGTATCCACAAATCAGCTCATCAAGCGATCAATCGAGCGATCAGTTACATGAAACAAAATGACACATCATGCAGTCAGTCAGTCAGCCAGTCCGTCAATAATCAATCAATCGATCGATCAATCATTCGATCGATCAATCAATTATTCCATCAATGAACCAGTTCAGCTACGCGGCTATCTATCCTTTTGTTCCGTTCCATCTGATACACTCCACCTGCCAGTGTCGTCTAACAATAAACCTATATCTTTGCGCGAGTCTACAAATTTCTGCCTCTTTGTCTGCCTGTCGATCGGTCTACCTGTCTCTCTGTCTACCCGTCTATTTGCCTATCTGTCTGCCTGTCTATCTGACTATCTCTCTCTCTCTCTCTGTCCATCTGTCCAACTATCAGTCTGTCTACCCATCTATCCATCTATCCATCTATCCACGTATCCTGCTACCCACCTATCCCATCTATCCATCTAACCATATGGTTATCTTGCGATGTATCCATGTATTTGTCTGTCTGTCCGTCTGCATGCCTGCCTGCCTGTCTGTCTCTCTCTCTGTCCCTCCGTGCGTCCGTCTGTTTGTCCGTTTGTTTGTCCGTTGGTTTGTCTGTTTGTTTGCCGTCGGTTCGGTGCCCGTCTTTCCGTCTGTCGCTGTCTGCCTCTCTGTCTCTCTCTCTCTCTCTCTCGCAGTCTTCCCTGTCCATATACATATAGATACATGCAGATGTATATACAAATACATACTGAGACACGCTTACGCTCTGCATGCTGAAAGATAGAGTAGAACACCCGGAAGCTATGAGTTCAACGTGGCATCAAGCTGGCGTCCAGTGTTCAGTGCTGGGTTCTTGGGCGTAGGGCACTGGGCTTTGGCATCCTGCCGCATGGGCTCGCGCAAGGAATAGAGAAAGATCAACCAGGTCTATCTTTCGGTGGTTATCGCAGCGAGCAGTCACCTTATCCGCCTTCTGAGCGCTTGTCAACCCGAACCTATACTAACCCCAAGGGCACAGCCTGGAGAACCCTGAGCATCCTCCATCCCAGGTGGCCTTGCTCACAGAGTCAGGCCGCTTGCTGAGAAGCGGGACTGGCTCCCGAAGTGTGAGAGTATGATGAAAGATGCAGAACGAGTCTCACTGAGGGTTCAGTGCGGTGAAGCCAGGATACGTAGGATTGTTCTGTCGAGACTTCTGCAGGTAGTTCTTGCAATCATAAACTCATGCTGCTGAATGGATCGTTGAAGGGAGCCTCCGTGATTTGTAAGGGTCTAATCTGCTCCTAAGTGCGGTGTGCGAAAGCTCTTGCAAAGGATTCAGTGTAAACGCCTCAAAGAATGGCAGTAAGTTATAAACCAAGCCCAAATCCTCCACCCTGACAGAGATCCAACTGGTGGCAGTAGCAGTAGCAAGTAAGTCACCTAGGCAAGCAAGCAAGTTAGTAAGCAAGTCCTGACCTTGCAGACTTGACGACGGAAAAGAGCCCTCCAGACAAACCCAATATCTACATTATGAAAAACCTTACACCCTTTTCAACAAAGGCTCAGCTCAGAAAACCCCGCCTTTTACGTCTCAGGGCTTGAGGCAGCCTTGGGCACCGGTGGCGAGGAGGCGCAAGCGCTCCCCGGCCGGAAGAAGCTCATATGGCGGGTCTTCTTCTTCAGTAGCAACAACCGTAATAATCACACTCACAATACCAACTATTGCTAATACAAGCAAACAAGCCAGTTGCGACCTTTTTGAGGTTTAGGGTTAGGGTATTGGGTTTCGGGCTTGACAAGTTTGGGTTTAGGCTGTCAGGGTTTCTGAGACTGTACGGGGTGTAGGGCTTAAGTCAGCAACTTCCATTGTCTTGTCTGTAGTTGTTGGTCGCATCTGTCTCCGTTTGGAATTAGGCTGTGTGTCGAGCATGGATGGATGGATGGGTACGTCAATGTAGGCAGCTACGGTGTACATATACATATGGAAGCAAGTAAGTATGTATGTATGTATGTATGTATGTACGTAAGTATGTGAGTTTGAATGAATGTACATATGTATGTACGCATTTACATATACATATATGTGTATGTATCTATCATTATCTGTCTACCTATCTTTGTATTTTCCTGTATAGGTATACCCAAAAATCTCTATGGCTGCATCTCTAAGTCTATCTGAACCTGTATATATATATATATATGTATGTTATAAATCTACATATCTGTGCAACTATGTATTTATACGTGTGTATATCTATGTAAAATCTATCCATGCATCTCTATGATCTCTAGATTATGTCAATATCTATGATACCTAGTTTGTGTCTGTATGTCTACTTATCTTCAAATGCGTATATTTCTTCTTTCTCTCCATCAATCCATCCGTTTACCGATCGATCTATCTATCTATTGATCTATCTAAATATCGAGCTGTCAAGTAACTATCTACTATCTACTTAGCTATATACCTAGTAGCCATATATCTATCTATATACATACACGTCTGTACGCATTTGCGTATGTCTATGTGTAGGAGTACAATGCATGTGTATGTGCAGGTGCAGGTGCAGGTGCATGTGCATGTGTATGTGTGTATGTACATATGTGTGTATGTGTGTGCGTGCAAAAAATAGATCTCTATATCTGTGGGTATGCGTGTACGCATTTCGAATGGATGAGTGGAGTACGTGCATGAGTGCGTGCATGGTCTGTCTGCCTGACTGGCTGTCCGTCGGTCGGCTGTCTGTCTTCTTGCCTGTCTGTGCGTGCTGTATCCATGTGTTCGTGTGTGTGTGTGTGCGTGTGTGTATGGATGGGCTGGATCTTTGAGGGTCTTTCAGTGTGAGGATTCTGGCTGAGTACCATGGGCCTTGCAAGGTGTATCACGAACTGGGAAAGGGTGAACCTGGCACCGTCTGATCTCAACCCCACCTTGACCCCCAAAGCCTCAAACGCTAAATCCTCCCTAAACCCAAAGCTCCATGCCCGAGTCCTGATTCGCTGCGACCCACAGACTCAAGACATTGAGGATTAGCACCAACTCCGCATCGGGTGGAGAGCGCTTCGCACAGAAGATGCTGGCAGTGAAGAAGGCATGGTGAGTATAGTTTCGGGTGTAAGTCCTTGCTGTTGCAGCAATCTGGGCCTTTCCACCTGCCGCCCGGCCTTCAATGACTACAGTGGGGCTTCAAACCCTCCACGCATAGACCCCATGCGTGCAGAGACACCGAGAGCCCTACATCCTAAGACCCTGACAGCCCCAGACCCTCAACTCTCAAGCGAAAAACCCAAACCAAGCTCAAATTCCTAAACTCCGCAACAGCCTCTAATCTCCCCCCCCAAATTTCGGAGCCCTGCTTGCTTTGGCGGGACCAGCTGGGAGGTGCCGATCTTCCGGCACCTGAACAAGCAGCAGACACAAAGGGTAGTGAGGCCGGCGGCTCAGAGTGAGGTTGAGGCTTTCGGGCTCAGGCGTAGATCACTATGTGCACTTGAGCATGTACAGAGTCTGGGGTCTACTCTGGATTCTCGGGTTGAAAGGAGGGTTGTGACTGAGGGGCTTCGTGCAGAGGCCTTGCTGGGTTTGCCTTGACCAAAAGCCCACCGAGCACAAAAACCTAAGTGGCTCAAGAAACTTCCATCCCAGGCCTTGGGCGATTTTGTGTAGCTCCTGCCTGCCTTTCTACTGCAAGAAGGCATTTCGTGCAGGGAATCAACATTCGCGCTGACGACTGTGGCGAATTGGTTTCGATGCTGACGCCGCCTGCGGCCGCCATGAACTTGAAAGTGGACGTAGCAACCGGACGTCAGGAGGAGATGGCTGCGAAACTGGTGGCAGATCTTGGTGGACACTTTGAACAGCAAGCTGCAGCAACTCCAGGGGCACTTCTGAAAATGGAGGAAGCTCGCAAGGTTCCTGGGATGAACTCAGGTAATGACTTCGTGAAGGTGCCTCTACCTGCACAAGAAACTCATGTGGCGGGGCCTATGCTGCTACCTCCACTGCCACATTCCGTGCAGCGACCGCCAAAGAATCCTCGTTACTTGTGGCGCCTCATCCCCGACAGGGCCAACCTGGTCATATCGAAAGGATCAATGGGTCACCCCTTTTCCTGTGCAGCGGCCTGCCGGTATGTGAGGCGCAAGGGTGGCTGCCGAGATGGCGCCGACTGCCTTGACTGCCACGAGTGCTTCTGGTCCAAAGCATCCACGAAGGACAGCGCCTCGAGGAACAGCGACCAGGCCCAGGCAGAGGAAGCCGTGCGAGCCAGGCCTGTCGTCGTTGCGACCAAGGAGGATCTGACGAACGACTCTGACATCCTCGGTGACTCCAAGGTCTCCACCGCGGGCATGGTTGGATTCGAAGCTCCAGAGCTGGAGATGCAGCAGGGGATGAACCCCGGCTCATTAGGCCATCCATACAGTTGTGGACCCGCCTGCAAGTATGCGCTGAAATCGCGAGGCTGCAAGGACGGAGACATGTGCACCCGCTGCCACCTGTGTCACTGGACCCGTTTCTCTGCCAAATCCTTGAAGCTCATTGAAGATCGGCAGCCGATACTGGTGCCAGCCACTGCGCGAGACTGTGCCCGCAGCAAGTGGCGGACGCACAGCATGCTCGATGGGCCAGTATGCTCAAAGAGCAGAAGCGGCCCAGAACTCCTTGGGAGTTTTGTAAAATGCGAGCCTATCACAAAGTCACGCGAGAGTGGAGCCAAAGAGCTCTACGTGTGCTAA